CAACTCAAAAAAAAAAAAAAAAGAAAAGAAAAAAAGAAAATGCAGACACATCCAGGTGTGGTGGCTCACGCCTATAATCCCAGCACTTTGGGAGGCTTGAGGTGAGAGGATTGCCTGAGCCCAGGCGTTCGAGACCAGCCTGGGCAACTTGGCCAGCCCTCATCTCTACAATAAATCAAAAAATTAGCCAGGCGTGGTGGCACGTGCCTGTAGTTCCAGCTACTGTGAAGGCTGAGGCAGAAGGATTGCCTGAATCCAGCAGGTTGAGACTGCAGTGGCCGCGTGTGTGCCACTGCACCCCAACCTGGGCAAGAGAGTGAGACTCCAACTCAAAAAAAAAAAAAGAAAATACAGACACTTCTGAGATGAAGATACTAATGAAACAGTCCTCTTTGGGGCAGGTGAGTCGTGCACTCCGTCCGGGGGATGTGGCGTGAACGGTGTCCACTCCGGTGGGTGCGTGTATGTTCTGAGTCTGCACTGACCCCAGAGGGCCCGCGCCCCTCCATCTGCCAACACGCTGGTGTGTTGATTCACTTGAGCAGGAGGGTGTATGTCGGGGCGGTTCTGGAGAAAAGCTTCCAGATTGTCTCCTCCACAGCTTCTAGGGCCGCTTCCCTAGACTGTGGGAGAGGCCCAAGGCAGGCAGGAAGTCACAGGAGGTGCTCAAATCATGACCTCACACGAAACACCATGACCACACGTGCTCCATAACATCACATGTCCAATACCGGATTCCAAGGGACAGGTAACATGTGTCCTCTGAGAAAAAGAATCCTTTGATCAAATAGGGTGGAGGGCCACTTCTTTTGGAGTTCCTCTGGACAAACTAAAGGCTCTGAGAAGCCCTGTATTATAATCTTTTTTTAACCCAGGTATTTTGGTTTGACCAAGGAATACATTTTTATTTTTTTGAGTTGGAGTCTCACTCTGTTGCCCAGACTGGAGTGCAGTGGCCGCTCCCAGCCATTGCAGTCTCGACCTGCTGGGCTCAGGCGGTCCTTCTGCCTCAGCCTTCCGAGTAGCCGGAACTACAGGCATGCGCTACCACACCTGGCTGGTTTTTGATTTATTGTAGAGATGAGGTCTGGCCAAGCTGCCCTGGCTGGTCTCGAACCCACAGGCTCAGACAATCCACTCGCCTCGGCCTTGCAAAGTGCTGGGATTACAGGCTGAGCCACCAAGCCTGGTCCGAATACAGTTTTTTTTTTCTTTCTCAACATCAGTGAATGTCTTACGGGAGATACGGAAGTTCTTTTGACTGTGCTCTAGGAGCATGCTAAACAATGGCTGAGCATAGGAAAGGTTCTCGAATCTCCGTCCTAGAGTCCCTGAGGGTCTCTGCTGAGATGAAAGCCACCCCTAAGACTGAGGCTATGGATCTGAGCCCATGTCTCCTGGGCCCACTCAGCTGGCCCCCAGGGGCCTGCACACCCGTCTGATGGCGAATGGCCCAGCAGAGCGAACCCGCATCACTTCCTTCCAAGGCAGCCCCCAGCAAGGCTGTTCCTGTCACTTGGTGAACTTGACCTTGGCTCCTCTGACTCAAACAGGGCCACATTTCTCCCTTCCACGCTGGCTTCCCTGCTCTGGGAGCCTCCTCCCTGCTCCATGTGCCTTTTCCTGTCTAGACCTCAGGGCTGGGTCAGCAGAAGGAAAAGAGAGCCATCAGATTGCTGGGCCAGGGAGTACGTCCACTCCTGACCATGGCATGTGGCCTTGGGGGTGTATGTGTGACACACACACGAGGAATATGTGAGGGCACCAACCAACCACCATGGGCCCGAGCCCAGCAGGTTGGGCAGAAATAGAAATAAAGGCAGAAATAGAAATACAGGCCACGTGGCGAGCGAGGCACAGCACTGGCCCACCTGGCCAGGCTCTGGGAAATGACAGCGAATGTCCTGTGTGAAGAACATTTCTCTGCAGGTGATGGCCCTGCCACGGGTAGAAGACATCCCCTGGGCTGGAAGGCATGGGGCTTACAGTCAGGAACTCCTGCTTAAGTCTGGGCGCCATCACCTGTTGGCACAGGAGTCTGTTTCTCTCACCGTGCAGTCGGCTCTGCTTGGTTGGGACAGATGTGTGACCCAGAGACAGAAACCAGACCGTGGCAGCAGCAGGGAGTGGCGTGTTGGAGTCTCACAGACATAGGGGTCCGATGGCCTGGGTTCGAATTCTCATTTTTTTTTTTCTCTTGAGTTGGAGTGTCACTCTGTCGCCCAGACTGGAGTGCAGTGGCCACTCCCGGCCACTGCAGCCTCGACCTGCTGGGCTCCGGCGATCCTTCCACCTCAGCCTTCCGAGTAGCCGGAATTACAGGCACATGCTACCACACCCGGCTGATTTTTTGATTTATTGTAGAGATGAGGTCTCCCTGCCCAGGTGGGTCTCGAACCCGCGGGCTCAGGCAATCCATTCACCTCAGCCTCCCAAAGGCGTGGGATTACAGGCTGAGCCACCGAGCCCGGCTCTTTTTTCTTTTTTGAGTTGGAGTCTCACTCTGTCACCCAGACTGGAGTACAGTGGCACGCTCCTGGCCACCGCAGCCTTGACCTGCTGGGCTCCAGTGATCCTTCTGCCTCAGCCTTCCAAGCAGTTGGAACTACAGGTGCACAGCACCACGCCCGGCTAATTTTTTGATTTGTTGTAGAGACGAGATCTCACCAAGTTGCCCAGGCTGGTCTAGAACCCCTGGGCTCAGGCAATCCCCTTGCCTCAGTCTCCCAAAGAGGTGGGATTACAGGCTTGAGCCACTGCGCCCGGCCGAATCCTCACGCTTGACAGCTGGCCACATCAGGCACGGATTCTCTCTGTGCCTCAGTTTCCTGGGAGTGGACGTAATAACAACACCTCAGAGTTATGAGATTTTTTTTTTTTTTTTTTGAGTTGGAGTCTCACTCTGTCACCCAGACTGGAGTACAGTGGCACGCTCCTGGCCACCGCAGCCTTGACCTGCTGGGCTCCAGTGATCCTTCTGCCTCAGCCTTCCAAGCAGTTGGAACTACAGGTGCACAGCACCACGCCCGGCTAATTTTTTGATTTGTTGTAGAGACGAGATCTCACCAAGTTGCCCAGGCTGGTCTAGAACCCCTGGGCTCAGGCAATCCCCTTGCCTCAGTCTCCCAAAGAGGTGGGATTACAGGCTTGAGCCACTGCGCCCGGCCGAATCCTCACGCTTGACAGCTGGCCACATCAGGCACGGATTCTCTCTGTGCCTCAGTTTCCTGGGAGTGGACGTAATAACAACACCTCAGAGTTATGAGATTTTTTTTTTTTTTTTTTGAGTTGGAGTCTCACTCTGTCACCCAGACTGGAGTACAGTGGCACGCTCCTGGCCACCGCAGCCTTGACCTGCTGGGCTCCAGTGATCCTTCTGCCTCAGCCTTCCAAGCAGTTGGAACTACAGGTGCACAGCACCACGCCCGGCTAATTTTTTGATTTGTTGTAGAGACGAGATCTCACCAAGTTGCCCAGGCTGGTCTAGAACCCCTGGGCTCAGGCAATCCCCTTGCCTCAGTCTCCCAAAGAGGTGGGATTACAGGCTTGAGCCACTGCGCCCGGCCGAATCCTCACGCTTGACAGCTGGCCACATCAGGCACGGATTCTCTCTGTGCCTCAGTTTCCTGGGAGTGGACGTAATAACAACACCTCAGAGTTATGAGATTTTTTTTTTTTTTTTTTGAGTTGGAGTCTCACTCTGTCACCCAGACTGGAGTACAGTGGCACGCTCCTGGCCACCGCAGCCTTGACCTGCTGGGCTCCAGTGATCCTTCTGCCTCAGCCTTCCAAGCAGTTGGAACTACAGGTGCACAGCACCACGCCCGGCTAATTTTTTGATTTGTTGTAGAGACGAGATCTCACCAAGTTGCCCAGGCTGGTCTAGAACCCCTGGGCTCAGGCAATCCCCTTGCCTCAGTCTCCCAAAGAGGTGGGATTACAGGCTTGAGCCACTGCGCCCGGCCGAATCCTCACGCTTGACAGCTGGCCACATCAGGCACGGATTCTCTCTGTGCCTCAGTTTCCTGGGAGTGGACGTAATAACAACACCTCAGAGTTATGAGATTTTTTTTTTTTTTTTTTGAGTTGGAGTCTCACTCTGTCACCCAGACTGGAGTGCAGTGGCCGCTCCCGGCCACCGCAGCCTCAACCTGCTGGGCTCTGGCGATCCTTCCACCTTAGCCTTCCAATTCGCTGGAACTACAGGCGCGCACTACCACACCCGGCTCATTTTGATTTATTGTAGAGATGAGGTCTCGCCAAGTTGCCCAGGCGGGTCTTGAACCCGCGGGCTCAGGCAATCCACTCACCTCGGCCACCCAAAGTGCGGGGTAACAGGCTGAGCCACCGAGCCCGGTTTACCTAATTTCTTATCTGCCGGCCAGACTAGAGTGTTTAGTCCGTGGTCACAGTGGCAGGGCCTAGGACAGAGCCGGGCACGCACTGCATCCCCCGCGCACGTCCCGTGAAGAAACAGACACCAGGAAGACACGCGACGGGCGCATTACCTGCCAAAAACCGGGTTGAGCGTGTTGGGAACGTAGTGGTCTCGGTCTTCGATGACTTTTTTGCCCAGCGTTATTTTTATGTAAGGGTCACACTGCGGGGACAACACAGAGTGGGTGTTATGTCCTCGCGGGGCGCATGTGGCATGTGTCAAGTTCTGGGACAGACTCGGCTTGCCTGCACCCCGATTCCCTGGGGCGATAAGTGGCCGACGTGGCACCCATGTGCTCCCCTCTGGATGGCCCTCAGCCACGTGGGCGCAGGGGTCCTGGCCCAAACCTCATCCCAGCGCACACCTGTTACCTGAGACGCATGAACCAGAGGATCTTAACCCCCCCCAAGCTCTCAGATAAACCCCCATCGGGACAGTCCTCCTGAACCCCAGTGAGATAACAGACGCCCAGAAAGAAAGAACACGACAATTATTGAGGCTGATGACTGTAATTATCCTGCTCCGGGAGAAGGCCCCACACCCAAGCACTTACCAAGCCATTGTTGTCCTGAGGCTGGAGCGCTAAGCCTAGAACAATGTAAATCCTAACCGTGCATTCCTGTGGGACGCTGTCAGGTAATTCTCGAAACTGCCTGGGCGGGGCCGGCACGCTGGGGTCATCCGACAGCGGGTAGATGCGGAAGGAGCCCTGAGAGGGAGACACAGAAGGACTCACGGAGCCTGGGCGGCCCGGGCAGTGCCCTCCAGGGTGGGAGAGCGGGAGAGAGAGGGTTGCTTCCTGTGAAAGTGACAATGCACATTGCTGTTTCCGGTAGGGAAAGTCACACGATGATCAAGTAATTATTTGAGAGATGACAGGGAGAAAAGACGGCAGGACAGAGGCAGGGGGCCTCTGCAGCCTCCACCTCCTGGGCTCAGGCGATCCTGCCACCTCAGCCTCCCGAGTAGCTGGGACTACAGGTGCACGCCACCATGCACGGCTAATATTTTAATTTTGTGTAGAGATGAGGTCGTGCTATGTGGCCCAGGTTGGACTCGAACTCCTGGGCTCAAGCGATCCTCTTGTCTCAGCCTCCCAAAGTGTTGGGATTACAGGAGTGAGCCACCACGCCTGGCCCAAACAGTAACTATTTTTTTGTTGTTTTTTTCCAAGTGTCTATTTTTAATTAAATGACTACAATTGAAAAACGATTCACTTATATTACAAGTCTCCTCAATTGTATTGATCCTTTCCAAGTAGCTTAACCATAGTGGGCTATTTGGATGGGGGGTAAAGTACGAGTCCTTATATTATTTTATTTAATTTTAATTTTAATTTTTGAGTTGTTGTCTCACTCCGTCCCCCAGGCTGGAGTGCAGTGGCACACTCATGGTCACCCCAGTGTCAGCCTGCTGGGCTCCAGCGATCCTTCCGCCTCAGCCTTTCAAGTAGCTGGAACTACAGACACGCACTACCATGCCCGAATAATTTTTAATTTATTGTAGAGATGAGGTCTCGCCAAGTTACGCAGGCTGGTCTCGAACCTGCGGGCTCAGGCAATCCACTCACCTCGGCCTCCCAAAGCGCTGGGATTACAGGCTGAGCCACCGAGCCCGGCCTTATCTTATTATATAAGTTATCTGTGTTGTCTGCTTTTCCTTGGCCCCCAGGTTACCATCCTACCATCCCAGCCTTTTGTTATTTACACTTTTCCTTTGTCAGTCACATGTCACCTTCCATGTTTATGACAAGTGAAACAGTAACTATCTTTAAACCCAATGAAGCACCCAAGGGTGACTTCCCTTTTCCTGTGGCCATCACTGCACACCCCTCCCACTCCCAGGCAAACTCCTGTTCATGCTTCAGTTCTCAGCCTAAAAGTGTCACTTCTTCTGGGAAGCCACCCTGATTGCCCCTGGGTAGAATGTGTCCCCCAACATGCTCTCACCCCTATGGCAGCCCTGACCTCTGCGTTGAAATGATCTATTTATTGTCTAATATCCTTCACTAGACGGCGAACTTCCTGAGGGGCCAGTTAGCGTTGTCCACACCACCCAATCTCCAGGGCTGTAGGCTAGGCACACAGGGGCAATACAGGAAAGGTTTTTTTGAATGAGTAAGCCAGCAGGCCCTCTGCAGATCCCGCATATTTTGTCCTGAAACCAGCCAAATATAGAAGAAAGCTCTGAAGCTCTCTCCACTCAGCACAGCAGCCTGAAGTAAGCACCTACTGTATGCCAGGTGTCAGAGGCCCACCCATGAGCTCAAAGATGTTCAATAGAGTAGGCTCATGTGGGTGGTGACTCATGCCTGTAATCCCAGCACTTTGGGAGGCCAAGATGGGAGGATCTCTTGAGCTCAGGAGTTGAGTCCAGCCCAGGCAACACAGTGAGACCACATCTCTACAAAAAAATGAAAAGATTAGCCGGGCATGGTGATGTGCGCCTGTAGTCCCAGCTCCTCGGGAGGCTGAGGCAGAAGGATCTCCTGAGTCCAGGAGGCCAAGGCTGCTGTGAGCTGTGAGCGTGTGCCACTGCACTCCAGGCTGCGAGACAGAGTGAGACCCCAACTCAAAAAAAAAAAAAAAAGAAAAGAAAAGCAATTAAAACATAAAAATAAGGTTATCTCCCTTGCCAGTTTTGAGAACTTGGTGGGAGGCTATGCTGAGGATTGGAGACCACAGGTGGGCATCAGCCTCGGGTCCACCTGGAGTGTCTGCCACTGGTACAAGATTAAGGAGCACACCTGCCACCATCTCGCCAAGCATGATCGCAGGGAGAGGTGGTCATGGCAGACGCACACGGTGTGGAAGATGTTTTCTCGGTGAACCCAGACCTGCGGGAGCCCAGAGCCCGAGTGAGTCACACAGCCCGAGGCCACCAGGGAACGCCTGGCAAAGAGCGTGACATTCGAGCCGAATAAGTTGGACTTGGTCCCACCACAAGGAGGGAAGGAAACGCACCCAGGGAGGGGAGGAAGAAGAGCCGGTCCCAGGGTTCCCAGGAGTTCGAGGACAGGGTGTGTCTGGGGCTGGGGAGAGACCATCCCAGGACAGAGGGTGGGCCGGGTGTGTGCGGGAGGGGAGACAGGGGGACTGTGTGTTTTGTGCCAGGCTGGCTCTCCCTCTGGAAGGAGCTGAGACTTGATTCTGTGGATAACCAAGCCGTGTCTTTAAGCAGTCAAGAGACAGGATCGGGTGTGGTGGCAGGGAGGATGGTGTGGAGTGGGAGGAGGATATGGTGGCAGGGATGTCAAGGGGAAGCTGCCCCAAGAGTCTTGCTGGGGGCTGGGACGAGCAGATCTTGGAGATTCGGAATTTGCTGGATTCAAGACGGTGTGGCAAGACAGGAAGAGACACCGTGGAAAGTCCTTCCTGGGTGTTCCAACCACCACTTTTTCCTTGCGAGAACCTTCTACACACCTTCTAACACCCTTCAGGGGCTGGAGGACACATCCCTGCCCCAGAGGCTGGCTGTCCTTTACCCTGGGTCAACAGAGAAAATAAGGGTGGCCTTTAAACAGGACGAACACACTCATTTCACTCACCTTAAACTCGCCCACCACGGAAGGGTCTTCGTTTTCGTCTGATTTGCCTCGGTACAGCTTGAAAGTATCTGAGAAGTCTGTCAGGCCCTCAAATTCTGGCACATCTTCCAGTTCACAATTGTATACCTGAAAAGTATCAGCAGAGTCTTAATTTCCGGTTAAAACGCAGGCGAGTCTAAAACCCAAAGGACTGATGATACCAGGCGGGCATGGGGGTGTGGACGGAGCCACTGGAACGCTCAGATTTCTGGCGGGAGTGTGGAAGAACCAGGCTGCTCTGGAAGATTTCTGGCAGTTTCTCACGCACTTAAATTGCCACTTAGTCTATGACCCAGAAATCGAGGAGAATGAAAGAGAAACGAAAGCGTGTCCACAGGGTACAAGAATGTTCATAGCAGCGTCACCATCAGGAGAACGGATAAACCGGTTGTGGTATGTCCACTCAAGGGAACCCTACAGCAAGAACAAGGGACAGACTGGCTACATACAACCATGGGATGGGTCTCAAAAGTCCAAGGGGAGCTCAAGAAGCCACACGCAGAATGCATGCCATTTCAGTCTTTGCATATGAAGTGTAAGACGGGCGAAACCAATGTGGTGACGGAACTGGGATCAGTTTCTCCTGGGAGGGATGAGGGTTGTCGGGAGTTGCCTGGAAGAGACACGAGGAAGCTCTCTGCGGTGACGGGAATGCTCTTGGTGTAGCAATAAAAACTCGCTGAGCGCATTGCTTTATCATATGTCAATTGTTCCTTGATAGGAAAATTAGGGGAGAAAGAAGGATGAGAAGGAGGGAGGGAGGGAGGGATGGAAGGAGGAAGGGGAGGGAGAGGGAGAAAGGGGGGAAGGAAGGAAAGAGGAAGAAAGAAAGAAGGAAAGAGAGAGAGAAGGAGGGAGTCCTGTGAGACCAATCCCCAGCTGAGTTGGACCTCAGTTAGTGGGTCCCTCCATGCTGGCGTCACTTGAGCTACACCAAGAGGCTGTGACAAAAACATGAAAGAATGTGGGAACCACAAATTTTCCACTTTGACGGGAACCATGAATTTCATGGGTAGCTATTTCTCATCTTGAAGTGTTTTCCAAAAGCTTGAATATTTGTTTCTACCGGAGCGCCCTCCAGCCTGAAAAACTCGACAAAGAGCGGAGAACAAAACACACGAACACAAAGATCAGAGGAGCCAGCCCTGCCTAGCTGGACAGCTCGTCTTCCTCTGGGACGCAGGTTCCCAGGGTGGTGATTTTACGCTGCACACGTGACACAGTCGACTTTTCAGCGAGTGAAACCCATCCCTGTTCGGAGGACGCAGTGAGGCGTGTTGACACCTCTTGTCTGCCGAGAGCACCGTGACTTCTGGGTGTCCCTGAGTCCAATGGCATCACCGTGGGCCTCATTAGTGTGGTGCCAGCCCATCCCCAACCCTCTGCCAGATGCCTCCAAGCCCTGATGTGGCTGTCACGTAGCGAGAACTCGATAGCTGTCCTCACGCTCCGACAACGCCAAAACCCGGGCAAGAGGGCTTTCCAGGAGGTCATGGGGACTCTGCTCCTCCCATCAGACCCACCCAGGGCCCTTTCAGTTGTCTTCTGAGCTCGGCCTGGGGTGGGTTCCTCCTCCTCCCTTCCCCTCCTTCCTTTCCCCTCATCCTCCAGTGCCCCCCTGCCGCCCAGACCCACAGGGTCTAGGTACCTTCAGTTTGGAGTAGCCTTTCTGAATATACTGTCCGCATTTCTCAAGTTCCCCCGAGGAAGCATAAAATTTACTCCACCAGTCCACGACTTCTTCCTCCTAAAGACAAGTCAAAATGGAAAAATCTTCAGTGATGACCTGGATTTCCAATCCAGGTAGGAAAACGCCCGTGTCACAGGCAAGGAGAATCAGGTACTTCTGATCCTGTTGTAAGCGAGAGGATGACTTTTGTTTACCTGCACAAGGACAAAGCTTTCGAGTTTCTTCATCTCCAAAGTTGGAGGTGAAATGCCCATTCTTGGCCAATGAGCTGTGTTGGGCTCTAATGCCCATAGGTCATTTTCTTATGTCCTATAGACACAATCTTTAGGATTGGGGTCTTACTCTGTTGCCCAGACTGGAATGCAGTGGCACAATCACAGCTCAATGCAGCCTCAGTCTCCTGGACTCAGGCGATCCTTCTGCCTCAGCTTCCCAAGTAGTTGGGATTACAGGTGTGTGCCACCACACTCAGCTAATTTTTTCATTTTTTTGTAGAGCTGAGGTCTCGTTATGTTGCCCAGGCTGGTCTCAAACTCCTGGGCTCAAGCAATCTTCCCACCTTGGCCTCCCAAAGTGCTGGAAATACAAGTGTAAGCCACCGTGCCTGGCTGACCTTATTATCTGCTTTTATTTTTTCATCCTGTTGACTTGATATTTACATACACATTTAAATTAAATCTCCAGTAATGTTTCCCACTATCCCATTTTCTTAGCCCTATTATGTAGCCATGCAATGTAATACAACACTCACTAAGCTAAGATTGGAAAAACTGCTTCTAATTCAAGGTCTCTACTTTGTTCTAAGCCATACCCTTCTATTCCAAGCCACAGCAGCTTGAGAAAGTTCCTTAACATCTCTGGAGCATCCATTTCTTTCTCTCTCTTTTTTTTAATTGGAGTCTCACTCTGTCACCCAAGCTGGAGCTCAGTAGCACGCTCACAGCCACCGCTGCCTGGATCTGCTGGGCTCTGGTGCTCCTTCTGCCTCAGTCTTCCAAGTAGCTGGAACTACAGGTGTGCGCCACTATGCCTGGCTAATTTTTTTTTACTTATTGTAGAGACAAGGTCTCGCCAAGTTGCCCAGGCTGATCTCAAACTCCTGGGCTCAGGCAATCCTCTCACCTCTCACCACTCACCAAAGTGCTGGAATGAGGCATGAGCCACCACGCCCGGCTTGAGTATCCATTTCTTCACTGCATAGAATAAGAACATTATCTGCCCCCACTCCCTGCCTCCATTTGTTTTGGCAATCAAGGAAGACCATTAGCTTCAACCTCCTGGGCTCAGGTGATCCTTCCTCCTCAGCCTTCCATATAGCTGGGACTACAGGCATACACCACCAGGGAGGATCATTTTTTAAATTTATTTTTTTTTGTAAAGATGAGGTCTTGCTATGTTGCCCAGACTGGTCTCGAACTCCTGGGCTTAAGCAGTCCTCCCATCCTGGCTTCCCAAAGCGCTGGGATTACAGGCGTGAGCCACAGTGCCTGGTCCCAATATGCTTTCATATGTTCCCCCACGAGATTCCAATGTGGAACCAGGGCTGAGACCCTCTGGTTTTGATGATGACTGGTTCTTGGACAGAAGATACAGCATATTGAAGTCACTTGTGGGACATTGTCCAACCGTGGAAAGTTTCAGGACAGATTTTTACAAAGAATAAATTCTCATGAGATCCACCCTTTGTTTAGTTTAAGCTACCATGAAAATAGCAGTGTTGCTAGAAATACAGAATGTCACTTGCAGGATAGCTTTCTATTCCGTCTCGGAGGAAAGGAAGCGGGATAGGAAAGACTATTTTTTATTTACATTACATTATACGTGAGTGTGTGCATGTGTTGGAGTTACACAGAATGACTTCCTCTTTATGAATCATCCTTGGATTTAGAAAAAAGCTTATTTACATACCAACTATAGGCAGAAGATGAGTCTTAAGCGTAGCAAGGAGTGTACAATAGTTACCTTTTCTGTCAGCTGTCCATGCACAGGTAGGGTCAGGAAGAAGGCAAGTCATATAACAGGTCACATGGATATGGAGACCCCACGAACATCAGGTTCAAAGAGAAAGAGAGAAGAAAAAATTATTTCTCACGAATGTTTTATGTGATAAGCGCTTGGATGGATGGTTTAAATTATTCTGGTCAAGATAGTTTCATAATTGAACACACCTTAATGGTTTCATCTCTGAAACCGGGCAAAAGGATGACACGCTGCATTATAATGAAAGGCTTAGAGGAAGCCACCTCATCCTGTGTTTTCAATGGAGTTGGATGTCGCCCAGTTGGCTAGCACAGTGCTCACTCAGGAAGGGAATATGGACCTTTCAGCCCATTCAGCCCTTAAAGTATATTCCCAACTTGGCCTAATTCTCTTCCCTCCAAAAACTCTCCCGTCACAAGATGCGCTTGACTGCAATACCATCACGCAGGTACTTTCTCTCGGTTTTCTCCCATGCCTATGTGATCGCAACAAATAAATGCTCATCCATCCAAGTTGTTCCAATACAAGGATGTCAAGTTTCTCATTGGCCAAACCCTTTCATTTTAATTTTTTTTTTTTGTGGAGAATTCACTCCAATCTCAGGGCATATCCAGGACATGAGAAAATGGAAAACTGGGATGGAAGGCTTGAGTTTGGTCCTGGTACCAGCTGGTACATTAGCCAAACTCGTTTTTGGTGGCAGTTCAAAAAATGCTACCTCTTTCTGAAATTCTAACTTCAAGTTCTTTTCTAATGGGCACTTCCCAAAGCTGCTCTGTGTGAGGGCCACGGGGCTTCTTCTGCAAGTGACCCTCAGTATCTTCTGGATCGATCTTTGTTCAGCACAATAGAATTGCCAAGAGAGGCAGAGAGACAGATAGACGTATCAGTTCTTTCTATTAGATTCACACCAAAGCGAGATTAAGGGTTAAATCATCACAGTTGAACTGAGATTTTGGAGAGAGGCATTTTATTCCAAAAGAATCTCACATTCTCAATGGTTGTGAGGTCAGATTTTTAGAGTCCGTTTATTTACATCTATTTTCGGCTATTCAAAACCACTTCAAAAAGAATAGTTCATGATTTAAAAAGCATTATTCAAAGCAAGCTGCTGATTTTAAAATGTAGGATTAGTATGAGAGAATTCATTCATGCCTACTGGCTCATTAGTTCATGTGGAAAGGGAATTGAAGCAATTGGTGTGACCAGTTTTATTATATCTAATAATCAACTTGTGATAAGAATCAAATCATTAGACGGCACAGAAGATCCTTCCCCTAGGTTTGAAACAATCATATTTGTTTAAAGATCAGCTTTCACTCCAAAATCTACTAATAGAAAGACTTTGAAAGAAGAATTCAAGTCTCTAGACCGAAATCCCACAGACCCACGCAGCTGCATGCATTTTCTCATCATACATACATGCACTGACGCTGGAGGGGCCATTTTGCTGAGTGCTGTTGACATACTGCTTAAGCACTGGAATTGGAAGGTCATTGTTGAGACAGTCGTGTGGGAATGTCCATGCTGTCTGGCTAGCACTTGACCCACCTGCCCTGACGACGGATCTCTCACTTTTCTTGTGGTAGTGCTCAGCCCATTTGTTAAGAGCTCCCACGGATGTCACAGCGTGACGCCATGAGTTTCCAGAGCATGACACTGTCACTCAAAGCCACAGCCTTCAGCCCCCAGCAACAGTATGGTTAGTTTTGACCCATTTCCTGAGTTTACCTGGATATAAGGCCCAAATCAAGTTAGTGGTAATATATGTGCATTGCGTGTACATTACATAGACATGTAATTCAGAACATCAGCAAGCTTGTCATTGGCTCTTCCAGAGCCCAACTGTGCCATTGGCCTGTACGTAGAAGTGCTGTGTCTACCTTTATGAAGAGGTAGACTTGGGTTTTCGGAGACTTCAATCAGTCATTCTTATCAACACAGCGTACCTCAACTAGGCGTTAGAAGAGCGAGCTGATTACAGGAATCTACAGAACAGTGGGCATGACGGATACCCCCAGCCCATCCTGCTGTGTTGCGATGCTTAATTCTACAATGTCAACTGAACTTTCCTAATGTGTTGCTCCAGTAGCTTGACTACGTCGCCCCTTGACTGTTGTTAAGAAATGATTAAAAAGATTGGCATTAATGGTCGACTTTATTCTTCTATTCTCCCATTGTACTTAGGGCTGCTGTGTATATGGAAGGTGTGTCAGAAAGCATGTCACAGAACTGATTGACAGTGGGAGGAGGGAAAGCTGGCGATGGATAACAGAGCAGGGTCTTAAACGGTCTTTTTCTAGAATAATTGCAAAAATCTACAGAAGGGAATCTTAACGATATTAACTTCTTCCAAGGACACTACTGTCTTATGGGGAACATCTGGGGTGGCTTACAGAGCAATTGGAGTCGTTTTGGCCTACAGGATGGGACATTTGATATTGTCATTGTGACTGTGTACGACTCCCAGAGGGCAGAGTCAAACACACTGCTGCACGGTGCTGGCTGTGGAGGCCACATTTTATACAGTCCAATAGTGAGTGAGTTTAATGCAGTGGGAAGGAAGTGGATTTTTTTTTTAAAGGCACTGTTTATGGACATAACATATTAAAGTGCAATCATGTGCATTTTTGGGCCAGTTTGCACATTAAAACATGCTGTGAATATTCATCATAAAGGCCAAGAGAAACAGGGAGCTATTTGGTGTTTTCATTTCTCTGGGCTGAGACATCCCTCCCCCTTTCCTTCTCATCGAAGTGGCTGGAACGATCTTAAAATAGGATCCTGTGTGAGTATTTCCACCAATTTCTTCACTTCAAAACCACAGTGACTATAAAAGTCTGGGTGTCCCATGTCCTGACAAATAGAGTCATTAGAAATCCATGGCACGGCTGCTTCATGGAGGGAAAGAATGCGACAAGCTGCACGCAGCTGTGTCCTGAATGTTGCAGAATGTGTTCCTGCGACTCCTCTTTCTAGCAAGTAGGATCGCTCAGACCATCCACACCAGTGGTTCTCAGGTCTGCCTACCATTCAAATCCCTTAAGAAGATTTAAAAATACACTGATGTCTAGGGTCCTTTCCTTGGGGTGGGGCCCAGGCGTGGGTCTCATTTTGAGTATCTTGCTGACTGCTGATAGGCTTGAAGCCCCCTCGTCTACACAATGTCGTCCTAACGACTGCTGAGCGCAAGGTTTGTTCTTGTCTCTACGCAGTCCTCAGCACGTTGGTTTGACGATGAGGATGATAGTTGCCTTGATTGGCTGTTTCACAGAATTCACCAAATGCTTAGACATCTGGAAGATACGACTGACAGTCCCAGCTCTGAAGCCTACCTTAGAAGCCAGTAATGGTTTGGTGTCTTCTATTTCGATCACGATGTCTCGGCAGGGTGGGGCAGACAGAAGAGAGGCTGTGGACAAATGATTTCAGAATCTGAGATATTTAAGAGAAATACAGTGGTGAGTACACTATTCCAAGTTCAAGTTTTTGGTGTTTTTTTTTTTATTAGGGTCTCACTCTGTCGCCCAGGCTGGAAGGCAGTGGCCGCTCCCGGCCACCGCAGCCTCGACCTGCTGAGCTCTGGCGATCCTTCTGCCTCAGCCTTCCAAGTAGCTGGAACTACAGGCACGCACTACCATACCCAGCTAATTTTTTCGTCAGGTTGCCGGGGCTGGTCTCGAACCCATGGGCTCAGGTAATCCACTCGCCACCTCCCAAAGTGCTGAGATTACAGACTGAGCCAATCAAGCCTAGCCCCAAGTTCAAGGATGGATGGCAGAGTTTATTCCTGGATGGGACTCAGTGGAGAGAACATCACCTGAATGAAGAAAATACCCTAACAATCCATCCTTTTTCTGGGTTTGTGTAGTCCATTTTTCTTTTTTTGTTTTTTTTGAGTTGGAGTCTCACTCTGTCGCCCAGACTGGAGTGCAGTGGCCGCTCCCGGCCACCGCAGCCTCGACCTGCTGGACTCTGGCGATCCTTCCGCCTCAGCCTTCCAAGTAGCTGGAACTACAGGCGCGCTGCCACACCTGGCTAATGTTTGATTTATTGTAGAGATGAGGCCTCGCCAAGTTGCCCAGGCGGGTCTCAGGCAATCCACTCACCTCAGCCTCCCAAGGTGCGGGATTACAGGCTGAGCCACCAAGCCTGGCTAGTTCACTTTTCTTTTGCTTTGGACAATTCGCCCAGTGCCTATATACAGGAAGTGCTCAAATATGTGTCTTTAGAGAGTGCGAGAGTAGAGGTGGGGAACTGACATTTAAAAAAGCCTTCTTTTCTCGGAATTTATTCCTAAAACACAGAAAACAGAAAAGCGGGGTGTGGGAGGGAAAGGAAAAACAAAACAAAACAAAAAGCAGGGTGGAAGGCTTGGCATGGTGGCTCATGACTGAATCCCAGAACTTTTGGAGGCTGAGACGGGAAGATCCCTTGAAGCCAGGAGTTCGAGACCAGCCTGGGCAACACCCATAACAAATGAAAAAAATTAGTTGGACATGGTGGTGTGTGCCTGTCATCCCAGTGACTTGGGAGACTGGGGCGGGAGGATCACCTGAGCTGAGAAGGTCGAGGCTGCAGCATCAGACCTTCCTCTCGTAGGGCTCCCCAAACCCTGGGTCACACTCCACATCAATTACACAGAATCACTGACTAGGCGCGCTCTTGTGAACCCCGCCCACTCCTGGCCAGTAGACACCAACAGGCCCACATGAGCGATTCTGGGGCCAGAGAAAGTTCGCAGCATCAGTGCCTTCCTGATGATTTCACGTATTTGGACCAAAGAACTTTATCCCATGAAAGCAGTAAGAAAAACAGGAGGAAAGTGGTTTCTCTCCATTCAGTAAACCCAGATAAAACAGTTCCTGCAGTTACAATAATTCTTTTTTTTTTTTAAGTGGCTATTTTAGGCCCCATCAATTCAGCACAAAATGTTTTGCACGGGACATTTCTCGAAGCACAACGTAGGGTTCTGGGTGAATGTGACTGCGGGATTTTTTCCCCCTCTTCTCTGAATCAGGAGAAGAGGATGCCCAGACCCACACAGCAAATGAGAGTCACAGGTTCTGTGGAGTCAGTACCTCGCTTTGTGGAGGCTGAAATAGAACCGGGCAGAGGCACAGTTGCTCACGCAGAAGACGTCTGCTTCAGTCTCGAAGCCACCAGGGAGCGGTTGACTGAGGGGGCACTAACCTCTTCCAATGGCATCTAATTTATGCGGCCAGAGGCCCTGGGATTACGTGCACTGATGGGACATGGCCCTCCGCCCTAACACAGCCTCTGACACATAGTAAGCTAAAAACAAGGCACCACTGAACCGGTGACAGCAAACCGCTATATCGTTAGCTATTATGTATCATAAAAATCTAAAATAAGTATTATGCCCTGCTGTGTCATTTGCATATTGATTCGATGGCCTAAGGCTAGTCACTTACAATTTTCCTCTACAGATAACAATCAAATTGCTTCACAACAAAGTTGTCCTGCATTAGTGTACAACAGATGAAAAGCAATTTTTTGTTTTTTTCTTGGAGTCGGGCTCTCACTGTGTTGCCCAGACTGGACCATAGGGGCACGATGATGGCTCACTGCAGCCTCAACCTCCTAGGCTCAGGCGATCCTTCCGTCTCAGCCTCCCACGTAGCTGGGACTACAGGCACATGCCACCATGCCTAGTTAAGTTTTTATTTTTGCAGATATGAGGTCGTATTGTGGGTGCCCGGGATGGTCGAACTCCTGGGCTCAAGCAATCCCCCTGCCTCAGCATCTCCAAATACTGGGATTACAGGCATGAACCACTGAGCTTGGCAGGAAAGCAATTTGAAATAAAAATCTCCTCCACCCTCAGTGCTCATGGTAGGGGGTGGGGGTAGAAATCCTTGCATCTCCTCACCAAAATATTGATCACACTGGACTGCAATGGCCCGCTTCTTTCTTTTCTGCCCTCCCTGCTGGACTCTTGCTCTGTGAGTGTTGAAATATGGCCGTCTTAGTCCCCGCTATCCCCAGACACCTAGAACAGCGGCTTCACAACTCTCTGTTGAGAGGTTGAAAGAAAGGCCTTCAGTTCCTCACTGATGTGGGAACAGCTCGCTGCATTTCCAGGTTGCTTGCTATTTTTTTTTTTTTTTGAGTTGGAGTCTCACTCTATTGCCCAGGCTATAGTGCAGTGGCATGCTCCCGGTCACTGCAGCCCCGACCTGCTGGGCTCAGGCGATCCTCCCGCCTCAACCTTCCAAGTAGCTGGAACTACAGGTGTGTACCACCACGCCCGGCTAATTTTTTGATTTATTGAAGAGACGAGATCTCGCCATGTTTTCCAGGCTGGTCTCGAACCCGAGGGCTCAGGCCATCCTCTCACCGCAGCCTTCCAAAGTGCTGGGATTATAGGCTTGAGCCACCACGCCCGGCCTAGGCTGCTTGTTAAAGAGGGTAAATTAGCTGGACTCGGTGGCTCAGCCTGTAATCCCACGCCTTTGGGAGGCTGAGGTGAGTGAA